ATTTATCAATCAGTCTCAAGCAAATATTACTAGAGGTTGTTGGTTTTATTAAACCCTAAACCAGGGACCTGTTGGCATGGCCTAGCGGTTAAAGTCTTTGCCTTGAATGCACTGGGATCCCATTTGGGCACCAGTTCTAATCACGGCAGCTCCACTTCCCATCCAGCTCCCTGCTTGTGGCCTGGGAAAGCAGTCGAGAGGTTCCTTGTTGTCACTTGGGGAGTGAATCATGGAAGATCTTTCTCTTTATCTCTCCTCTCTGTATATCTAACTTGTAATAAAAACAAATCTTAAAAAAAAAACCCTAAACCACCATACAATGTGGAATTAATGACAACTACAGCTTTTGACAGCACCGATCAGGATATCCAAACATTGCAAGGCCCTGAGTATAACAAATGTGGGGGATCCAAGGACAAGGAATGTGCATAAAGTCATCTCTCTATCTATCCTTTGCAACGATCCCCTCATGAATTAAAGTGCAATGTTACCCTTACTCCCAATGAGTCATTAATTCAGAGCCCCAACCATATCTATGTGTTTGCAGCACCTGAAGTGGTTTGCTTGCATATTGGACCTTACTACCTGTGGTTGGGTGTCCCTGCAGTAGATGTGGGGGACATGAAGGGATGAAGTGTTCCATTGCAGGCAGGGCCACAAGGAATTTCCCACTGTTTGGCAGGGCCCGCCTGGCGAGCATCTACAACCATCTGAATGCAACTCCACCTTTTGCATGGACACCGGACCACCCTGCGGAAGAATTCTAATCCATCCTGGCATTTGCTACTGCGAGGATGACCTTTTGCTCAGCCTGAACTTGGAGGTCAATGTCTTGCAAAAGGGCCCTTTATTATTCCTACTGCCTTGGCTATCCCCATTGAGCCTATGCTAATCAAGGGATCTAGATTCAGGCTTTCATTCTTTCCTTATTCTTTAGATTCCCCTTTTCTTTGTGATACAAGATTGAGTTGTAGGATAAGAATTGTAGCAGGAAGTTCTAGGTACTGTTAGCAGGAACTTCTATTGTTTCTAGGTAAAACTAATGGCAGGATTATCCTTAGAAATTCCCAAGTTGACCATGACGTAAAAAGTCTGAGCCAGAGTTTGACTGTTTCTGTATAAATAAAGCGGACAGCTTTCCCACATTGTCCATTATGATCATGAACTCCTAGTGGTCCGTCACTTTCTTTGCGCCTCATCCACGCACCCTTCGCGAGTTCTGAACTCAGCTGGAGCTGGACTCCAACAACTTGTATTGCTGCAACATATTTTGATGACAAAAATGATCCCGAATTGTGTGTGCTTGTACAAGTATTGGCCCAGGTGTACCTATACGGTGGTGATGCAGAAGAGAACACCTGCTGGCAAATTCGGGTAGCAGGGTTAAGAGGGCTGTACCCGTCCTAGAGCCTCTGCTGGTGAGACTGGGAATAACAGAGTCAACTGCAGTAGGGGCAGCAGCATGGATCACAGGTGACCAAAGCTTGAAGACACTCAGTGACCAGATAGAAATGGACTTAAGATATCAGGAATCATCTGTGACTCAGCTAGAACACCAAGTGGATTTGCTAGCCGAAGTAGCGCTGCAAAATAGGAGAGGACTCGATTTGTTCATGAAAGAAGGGGGACTGTGTACAGCAATAGGAGAAACATGTTGCTTTTACGCTAATCATTCAGGTATAATTTGGGATACTCTTGCCCTAGCAAGAAAATATCTGAAGAAGAGAACAAGCCCAGTAGGGGTCCCAGAGCTGGTGGTTTTCATACTACCCATGGATAATAACCTATATTATCTGCAGTGACAGAGCCTATAATTATATATATATATATATATATATATATATATATATATCCCTGCTAATTGGCTCTTGTATTGTCAGTTGTGTAACCAACTATGTTACGGAAAGAATAGGTGCTGTTAAGCTTATAGTGTTAAAAACAAGTTTTGTGCCTTTTGCTAATAGTAATGATAATGAATTAAGGGTTTGATTACTATTAAAAAAGGGGGAAGTTGTAAGGACAAAAGTTGAAACTAAAAATTCTTATGGCACAATGCTAACAGCTGGTGTCTGCTTCTGTAAGCAAGTTTGTTTGCTCTTGCTGGGAACATCTGGGGACAGTATGTTCTGGGAACGATAAGGGCATGACCTAGGTAACTGTGAGAGATAGTGGCCCGGGCCCGGCGCGGTGGCGCAAGTGGTTAAAGGTCCTCGCCTTGCACGCCCGGGATCCCACATGGGCGCCGGTTCTAATCCCGGCAGCCCCGCTTCCCTTCCAGCTCCCCACCTGTGGCCCGGGAATTTGGGACCCTGCACCCACGTGGGAGACCCGGAAGAGGCTCCTGGCTTCGGATCGGCATAGTATCGCCCCGTTGCGGCTCACTTGGGGAGTGAATCATCGGACGGAAGATCTTCCTCTCTGTATCTCCTCTCTGTATATCCGCCTTTCCAATGAAAAAATAATAAAAAATAAATCTTAAAAAAAAAAAATAAAAATAAAAGAGAGATAGTGGCCTGGCACAACAAAATGCCATCACCACAGGAGATCCACATTCTGGAATTTATGACCCAGGATGTAGATGTCAAGAAGAAGCCTTGCCTGTCAGGAAACCTGTTGCAACTTGCATCTGAGTACTTTACATTTGTTTTAGCTGGCAAGTGAGTGCAACAAGGGATCGTCCAAAACTCAGTGCCATCTCGCCCAAGGCAGCCTCTCTTGCATCTCCAGTTGTATGCCCCACTGAGCTTTAGGTGGTGCACACTCTACTACCGTTCGTAACTGGCCACACTGGGGCCTGCTCCATGAGCATAGGAGCCCTGTGTATTTTATTGCTGCACACCTAGTGTATTTTTTTTAAAGATTTATTTTTATTATGTTTTTATTGGAAAAAAAAAGGCGGATATACAGAGAGGAGAGACAGAGAGGAAGATCTTCCGTCCGATGATTCACTCCCCAAGTGAGCGCAACGGGCCGATACTATGCCGATGGGCTGTCCTCGACTGCTTTCCCGGGCCACAGGCAGGGAGCTGGAAGGGAAGCGGGGCCCATATGGGATACCGGGCGTGCAAGGTGAGGACCTTTAACCACTTGCGCCACCGCGCCGGGCCCACCTAGTGTATTTTTATATTACTTAGATCAGTCTATGCTTGGGAACAATTTGTGACATTCTTTCATCTAAAAGCAATTATCAAATGATAAGTAAAATCATAACTTCAATATAAGCATAAAATAAACATGTATTTTTATTTAGGTCAGTAATTGGTGATGGAACCTGTAGATCAAAACCCCTGCAAAGGATACATCACATACATGGGGTGGGGGGGCTTGGGATGCTGAAGGAATCTATAAACAGGCGCCAGATGGCTTCTTCTACACAGCACAACAGTCACTTTTCTCTCATGGCACTGTTCCTTTCCATTTCTATGGACAAGAGTCACTTATGTTTAATTTACAAAGCTGTGAAATAGCTTTAAGGTGGTGGACAGGTTGCTAGAGAATGAAATAATGCAGAAGTGTCTTCTAGATTACACACAGACATGTTTTAGGAGGTTGATTGCTAAATCAACCTGTGTCAAAAGTAAATATGGTGCTATTTGGCCAAGTAAAAATTAAAGTCTAAGAAAGATAAATAGAGCTGGTCAGCAGTAATTTAGCTACATTTTAAAACCACCACATGGGCCCAAGGGTGCTGCAGTGGAACAGGTAACATGTCACCAGATCTCTCCTGTTGGGTGGTTGGTATGTCTTTCAAGAAATTATTGAGAGTAATATTAGAGTTTCTAGAATAACCAAGAAAGTCATTTGGAACTTTGAGCTGTTGGAGAAACTAGTGAAATAGTAAAGTTGTGTTATTGGAATATTTCCAACTCTCACTTTCAGTACAAGCTCTCACAAAACATATGCATATATTTTCCTCATGTCAACTTAAAAACATTCTTAAAAGCCTAAAGTGCAGAAAATATTAGTAGGTAATAAGGTGGTTGTCATACAACGGAGCTCAAAATTGTCACTATTATTGTCACAGATTATCTGTTAATAGATGATCTGTTGTTTGAACAGAAAGATGAACACCAAAGCTTTAGCAGGAAACAGCATTTGTTTTTATGCCAGCGTGAGGCTCAGCTGGATTCACACCCAATATTCCAAGACACAAACAAACAGGGACCCTTCCTTATATACTTGAAAGTTGCTTTGCCTCTGTTGTGTGGCTGCATACACTTTGGATTCTCGAATGCTGTGTGGGGGTTCTAAGGAGTGTTATTAAGGCTGCACATGTGTTCATCATTTCTGATAATGTTTAATTGGCTTCCCTTAAAAAGGCTAATGCATTCTCCCCATACACAGTGAGCTATTTGTGGCCTGGGTATGTACAAGTGATTTCCTTTCAGGATGTGAAGACAGATTTATGTATGCAGTATGTAAAGTGAAGTTAGTGACTTGCTTTGCGTGAGTAGAAAAATGTGGAAGTGACGGCATCAAATCAAGCTCCACATATTATCAGCTTCTGAAGTGCTGGCCCACAGAAACCGTGGTAAGTGATGTTTTATTTCTTTTTGATTTAAAAAAAAATTGTCTTGCTTGCTTTGTAAATGCTGTCTTGTAAACCATTAGATTTTAGGACAGTTTTAAATATATAACAATAGATAACAAGTGCAATATTTTATCTCAAAGCCTTCTTCTTGTGTGTCTACCAATTGTAAAATATATCATGACTTTTAATCTGGCTCTGAGTTCCTGCTGTGCTTTTAACTTTCTCCCCCTGAGCCACAACTGAGACTCCTGAGTTCGTACCTCCCTCTACCAAAGAACCAACTCAGCTTGTTACTTACGGGGAGATTTCTGGAGCTGTTTTGGAAAGCAGCCTTTGACAAATGGTAACCAAAATCTAAAGAGGAAGAGGGCGCATAGCAAAGATCAGTGTTATGCTACATACAAAGAATATATTTGGGAATTTGTGTTAGGAGAGTCTATGCTAGCCCATCAGTTCAAAGCAACTGACCCAGGAGGCTGCTGTCAGCACTACACTGAATATTTCCGCTCATAAAATGTTATTAAGAAATAAGGTAACATATCCAGCTGCTAGTTTCACTAAAAAGGTACGTGGATTATTAGTAGCTAATATTCATCTGGCACTTTTATACTGTTTTTTTTTCAGGAAGCGTTCACAGGTATTGCTTTAATTTATCTTTGTTTACAGTTCCTGAGCAGACTGTGGGTCAATTACTGAAAACTCCATTGTTATCTTTCTCTGACTGTATTCTATTGTTAGGTTTTTTGAGGAACTTTTTCATAGCCTAAATTCTTGTTTTGAAAAAAAAAAAAACAGTAATAGTGTATTAATTTGTTACTGCAGCGTCCTTCCTTTCTTGCCCATCAAGGCTTAGCAATCATAGTTGCCAAGTAAGTCGTCTCTAATTGGCTTTGCAACTTTGCAAAGTGGTGAGAAGAGAGACAGAAGAGGAACACCTTTCGGGTCCTTCTGCTTTACAAGCCAGGCAATCCTTCAGGCTGTTCCTGAAGCCAGTCTCAAGAACCATGTCTGTAGAGACCATTGCTCTCCTGCTTGCTGTCTGATTTTTCTGTGTTGCTAAACCAACTGATAATTCCTCAAAAAATAGGAACGAGGTTTCCTATTTATTTCCACGGAACCATTTTGTCTTTTGGCTCCAAAGCTAAAAAAGACCTCAGGACTTAAGGATACCGCGGAGGAATCGTCCTCAAGAGAGGACAAGTAAGAGATGTCTGTGGAGTACTACTGCGGGAGTTGGTATTTTAACATTGCCTACGTTATTCCCGCTTCCAATGACCAACTCTCCTGGCTAAACGTGGGTCTCTACATCACAGCCACTCCTTTTTATTTTTTTTTTATCCCCCAGATGAGATTGCTTGGTGTTTGAGTTGAAGTTAAGCTTTTTCATTTGGTACATTAACTGAATTGGCTTGCATTTTAAGTGATTTTCAAATTTTTTTTCAGTCCAAAGTTTTAAAAATTTTCCAAGGATCATATCTCACAGTTTCAGTCTTTTGTTTTTACACTGTTTAAGAAATTTTAATCGGATTGGGAGAATTTAAAAAAAGTTTCAGTGTAAATATAAATAGCTATAAATAGGAAGGACGATTGTGTGAGGCATTGGTGGTTCAGTGGTAGAATTCTCGCCTGCCACGCGGGAGGCCCGGGTTCGATTCCCGGCCAATGCAACTACTCCTTTTCTGCATTTGGAATGCACTCTGGTAATGAATTTCTTAGAAGTCACGCTAAGCATGTTGCTTTTTGTTTTACTACAGGTGAGACTTAATTTCGAGGGAGCTCGATTGACGTTTTCGCGGGAGAAGTAAATCCGGTGGTATGCGGAGTGATGGCTGTAGGAGCCAAGCATAATTAAATGAGTTACTTCGGTTCTCATAAATTTTTACAGGATTATGCAAGCAGAACTGTAACCATTAACATCTCGAATACATAATTAAAGAGCCCGGTAGCCATCTAGCAGAGTGGCGCAGCGGAAGCGTGCTGGGCCCATAACCCAGAGGTCGATGGATCGAAACCATCCTCTGCTAGTTTGAGTGTTTTGATTCACATGACTTGGGAAAGTTGAACAGAGCTAACCCAAGTCTTTTCACCAAGTATGTGCAAAACCCTGTTAATAATTCCGAAGGCGTTTAGCACAACACACCCACTTCTATTTTCTCTGTCCAGAAAGCATATTATGTCTGGGCATCTGTCATTTGGCTTTCCAGATCTGGAGACCCCATGCCCTCTGCGCATCCCGTTCGTGACGTCTGTTAGCGGCTCCTACGTGCGACAGATTTTGCAATTTTTGTCACCCCTCTAGCCAACATCCCGAGTTTCAAATTTTGGAGCTGTTAACTCTGGTGTCTGACTTTTCAAACCGTCGCTGCATTGCGGGAAAACCGAGATTTTTAAAACCAGGTGTAGCACAAAAGCTGCCTTCCCTCATGGGATTCTCTCCAGATAAGGTACCCAGATACGTAGTCGTGGCCGAGTGGTTAAGGCGATGGACTTGAAATCCATTGGGGTTTCCCCGCGCAGGTTCGAATCCTGCCGACTACGAGAACTATCGTTTTTCTTGCAACGTTCAAACGTGGAAACGGAATAAGCAGAGTGAAACGGAATACGTGTTCCTCGCTAATTTTAGCATGCAGTTGATAGTTTTCCGCCTTTTTTGTGACAAGACTTACATGGAATTCTTCGGAAGCCTCTTTAGGAAACCACTTGAAGTCTGTTGTAAGCCTGCTGGAAAAACATTCAGGTGGTTTTGCCCTGAAGTCTTCAGCTGCTGCTTCCCAAGGTGTGAGGCTTTCTGTATTCCAGCTGTTGTCTGACTTTCAGTCTCTCCTGCCTTTAATTTACGCTTGGCATTTTCCTCAGATTTTTGTAAACTTTTAAAGCATCATTGTCCCACTTGTGAGCGTATTTAATGTTTTAAAATCAATATGTAAAACAAATTTCTAGTCATTTTTTGGGGAAGGTGGGTAGGGGAGGGAAATCTCAATTTCTCCGAAATTGCACCATAAAATTAAAAAACTCAAAAAAAAAAAAAAAAGAAAGAAAGAAAGAAAGAAAGAAAGAAAGAGATTTCTAGTCTTTCTTCCTTTCTCAAGTATTTTGCTATTCTTTCAGTGGCTGTAATTGCAGACAGGAAATACCAGATGGGTAATTTTCAAAGCTGTTTTTGGAAGTTGGCAAACACTTATTAAAAAGCAAACCAAAACAGAACAAACAAGCAAACAAATAAAAAACAAAGAAAAGAAACCTGCTTTGCTATCTAAAACTCTGTTATTCTTGCTAACACATCTTTGCAGGCAACAATAATAAAAGTCAAAACAAAGATAAGAAATTTTTCCTCTTCTATGAGTAATTGCTCCACTAAGAAACGCAAGTCGGAATGAAAATAAAATGAAATCTGGAAAAAAAGAAAACTACTAACAAATTTCTGAAACTTAGATTGTTTTCTTTTTCACGTTTTCTAGGTGTATACTTGGCCTTTGAGATTCTTAAATGCTGACACTTTTTTTTTCTGTAAACTCATTGGTAGCCAGACATTTATTAGCTATGATTTACAATCTGGGTTTTCGAGGAGCACTGACATGCAAATAACCTGCATGTGCTCCGCCCTTCTTTTGGCAAGGGCAATTTTGTTACTTTGAACTCCTGGGATATGTCCCTAGTTGGGAAATCCAAAACACAAACGTTTCAACTAGGCTAAGCCAAATAATATCAACACACTATGAAAAATCTGCCATTTGCAGTTGTTATCTTTGGTCCCATGGTGTAATGGTTAGCACTCTGGACTTTGAATCCAGCGATCCGAGTTCAAATCTCGGTGGGACCTAAGGTATTTCTTTTATTTTTAATATTGTTTACATAGCTGAGAGGGATAACACTTATGTGAGTCTCTGATTAGGGTGGGGAGGGTCAGGTATGGAGGAAGGTGGGTGCGACAAATGTTTCAGTTCTTTTTTTCCTCTTGTAGGTCCTATAATATTTTCACTGTTCCTGCCTTGAATACCCAAACCAGGTTAGCAACAAGGCCCTGATCTGAGAACAGCATCTCTGCTTTTACCTGCAATTCCACTTCTGTTGATTCTTGCTTCTCCTGCCTTGTCGGATGACAGAGTTCTCCTAATCCTGGTAAATTAAATTACCTTAGATTATCATCTGTTTGCTTCAGGATACATTTTTCGCACCCTGGACTACTTCCTTTTTTCTTTGTAGGGAACCGTCTTTTCCAACACAAACCTAGTCCCAAAAGATTTGCACGTGAGCCTCTTGAAATCTACGCTATCAATTGGGATGCAATAAATATTCCACCAATATTTCTTCCATTAAAGCCATACACCATGAAGTACAAGTATCTTCAAAATGTTTATGGAAATATATATATGATGAAAAAGCTACATGCCTTGCAAGTTCTCGGCACCCAAAACATTATCCTTTAATTTCCAAACTCTGGAAATTTCTTCCTACGATCTAATACTCCAAGTAAATACTCTGGGCAGGGCCCCATGGTGTAATGGTTAGCACTCTGGACTTTGAATCCAGCGATCCGAGTTCAAATCTCGGTGGGACCTGTTCTGGTTTTGATGACTATCCTGATTTTGTCCCTGGGAAGAACAGAAAGCAACCCTTGCTTCCGTACATGCTTTGTGACTTCAGGAGATGGTTCCCCGTGTGTTCCATTTGTCATTGTACAGTCTGCATTTTATTTCTTGATTCTCCCTCAGGTTGTCTTGATCTGCTGCAGGAATATATTTCAGAACTGCAGCTGTAAGCCCCTTAAATAAGAAAGCCTGGTATGCTGAAATGTGAGTTGCAGTTTGAGTCTAGATCTGTCTAGCATCACAGTCACATGCCATTCCAAGATCCTGAGGCACAAAGGTTAACGCCCTGGACTCCCAGCAACCCCAGCTGTGAGGTTCAAAACATCTGTTGACTGTTCAGAACATTCTCGGGTGCTTTCAGTCATAGCCAAACAAGAGCTTCAGGAACTCCTCTGAAGTCTGCAAATTGTTCAAGAAAAAAACAGGTAGGCCTCATCCTGCTGATCTTGCTTAATCACCATGCTGTCTTAGCATCCTCTGCATTCGTTTCCTATGGCTGTCGCAACAATGATCATGAAGCTAATGGCTTAAACAGGGCTGTGATGTTCTGGAGAATTCAGGAACGAATCCATCATCTCAACTTTCTCAGATTCTGTTGGCTCCTTGCTTGCTTCACCTGTGGCATCTGTAGCTACATTGTCTGCTTTTGACTCTGCCTCCCATTTAGAACTACTCTTGCGATTACACTGGGCCTACTCAAGCTCTGCAGGATGCTCTACCCCTCTTGGGGTATGTAGCCTGTAATGTCCTTTTTACCAATAAGGTGCCATGTCAGAGTTTCTTGGGACATCCCATTTTGGGGGATCATTATTCAGCTCTCTCTTGGTTCTGTTAATAAATACCAGGTATTTATTAATATTCTTGACTCTCTTGGTCATGTTACCTTGCAAAAATAATGCAAGATCTGGATCAACCTTGCATATGTGTCTTTCAGTAGAAGCAGATAGATTTCTATTTAAGGGCTCTGCAGTGCAATGATTAGCATTTGAGCTCAGATCTTGCAGTCCTTTTATAGATTTACCTTAATTGTGTTTCTTCCCGGTACAGGACCCAGTGTTTTCTGGAGCATCAAGTTTCTTAAATGTATTATTTACCTGTTGTTGTATAATTGTCCAACACAGTGGCATGAAGCAACGCATGTTTATATCTCAGCTTGGCGGAATCCTTTTTGTCAGTGCTTTCCCTGCTCTGCATTCCAGGAGCTGACTGTGGAGTAAGTGCAGTCATCTTCAGGCTCTGTTGGGGAGGAACCACTTTCAAACTCACACGGTTATTGGTAGGCTTTCCTTGTTTAATTTCTGGCCAGTTAGACCTCCTTAATGTGGCAGTTTGTTTCTTCAAGGTGTGCAAACTGAGAAGTCAGCCTCGTTCAGATCAGCTTCATTTGTCTTTGCCTCTTTCTAAACACCTCTTTCCTGATACCTTCAAGGTTTCCTATGGTTGTGCTTTTGTTCAGTTGTAGGAATGGCAACAAATACAATTGCAATCCAACTGCAGATGTACTCCTGGTGGTCTCTGACTGTAGGGCATAGAAATAGGCAACATTTGCTTTAGCAAAACACAGCAGAGCTAAATTTTCATTTTTTGGTCATTTTTCAATGTCTTAAATCAAATACTCACCCATCAGATAGCGCAAAGATTCTGTAAGATAAAATCCAACTATTCTGATGTCACATTTAGCACAACGCACAATTTGGAGGTCACCCATGACCGACAGATCTTCTCCCAGCTTCCTAGGAGAGCTGAAGATCAGTCTCAGGAGTGTTAGCCATTCCTCTGTCAATCCTGTACGAGGAACAAGGGTGGAAGAACACATCTAACATACGGCTTCTTGATGGTGTTAAATATACATGACCGAATAGAAATGACAATTTTAAATCCTAAATAGTCAACTCCTATCTTCCTCACTAATGTTTCTTTCATTTTTCTCTTCGGAAGGGTATTTTTGTTATTTTTTTCATGACTGCTCCTATCCCCTGATCACCTCTTTACTTTTTCGGTGTTTAAGTCAAAATTATTTGCACAAAGGAAATGCAATTTCAGCAACAGAACAGGAGATAATTTAGAACCAACAAAACGGACCTCTCTTTAAGTGCAGCACCTGTAGCCTTTTGCTGCAGGAGTGACGAGGTGGCCGAGTGGTTAAGGCGATGGACTGCTAATCCATTGTGCTCTGCACGCGTGGGTTCGAATCCCATCCTCGTCGTCTCAGCATCTCCCTATACTGGGAGATAAGGTTTTAGTTCCCTCTCTACATTGCAGAAATGCATGCTTTCCCTCTTCCGCGAACATGATCCCCGCATTTTCTCTTTTAAATCTGAAGTCTCGCGCACGTTTGCTGGTTCAGGTCTCTTCCGTTTAGTATCTCGCCTGCCCCGCCTCTCACCCCCTCCTCTTTGCGCACTGCACCTCCTTCTGATTTCTGCTCGTTGTCTCGCAGCACCGGAAACCTCTCTTTACTGAGTGTGTAGGAGGGAGGCGAGGGGGAGGGATGGGACTGTCACTGCTCCCGCTGGCATAATCTTGCTATACCCACACCAAATGTA